GGAAGTTGAAATTCAGCATCTTCTGAAAGTAGGATAACAAATTTTCTTCCAAGACGCTTATTCAAAGGGATGTGCCAGAATTCCTGCGTCTCTGTACGCTCGGCATGGTAGGACCACATTCCCTAGTACTATCATGTCTCCGCCTCCGCAAAACTGCCTTAGGCGCCAGGTCTTCTAGAAACCGCCCTTGACCCTGAACTTCATACCCTGGACCAAGTACTGGGAGAGTGGAAACCCTAAACCCTAAACCCTAAACCGTTTAGCATGGACAGTAAGTCTGAAACTGGGGTGGATCGACCAGACTAGAACTACTCTTGCAAAATTGCAGCGGGCCATGCAACATGCTTGTAGTCTCAGAGTCCACCCCAAACCATGGTTGAATTCAAATCCCCCGAACCCTGAAACCCTAAGCCCTAAACCCTAACCCCCAGTCTACCCCAATCCCTCAGCCCCGAGCCCTGAGGCAGGCAGGCAGCAGCGAGAGGAGGGTCAAGGGGAAGAAGCGAAGTTAGAGGCGGGCTTCCTCAAATAGTGGTGGATGGAGGATATCATGCACCACCTTATATGGTAGTTTCCCTAAATGAGGGGACCCTAATGTAGACCCCCAAAAATACTACAATCCTTATTATTGACACCCCCAATGAGGTACCCCTAATTTTAAGAAGCTCCCATATAGCCTCCCCTAAACCCTAAACCCTAAACCTTTGCCATAGCCTCAATACTGGTAGTGACACCTTCGTGGGCTTTTTTCTAAGGCATGAAGTGGTGTCAGATTTCCGTTATCTAGCGTAAGGGATACTCTGAACATGGGTTTCGGGTTAGGATATTGTAGGGACCATATAGGGTGTATAGGGTTTAGGGTTTAGGATGCTTTGTATGAACCCTCATAAACAGCTCAATTTCGCTTGTTGGAGGGTTCCAGGGCAGATAGACTTTATGGGTTCCTTTGTAGTTCTCTTGTCATCCAGATACTACACTACATGGTTTCCGGGGTACCCTACGCCCTCACACTTTAGCTGTGTGCCTTGCAGGTTAGTGAACAAGCTAGAATACTTACCAGCATCCTTCATTTATAGTTTACATGTATATATGTATATAGATCTTGATGTATATATTTATATACATATAGATATACATCATAAAATACACCCTCAAGCCCTTTTCTGATTAAACAGGTTCCTGCATTCTCCCTGATTCAAGAAACCCCTAGGTCAACCAGGATGAGACGACGACCAACTGCTGCAGATGTGGCTGTGATGATTCAGGAGAGTAGTATTTTATTTGCGGATACTATGGTACCCAATATAGAGTAAGATTATATCCTCCTTTTGGGGTATAGTATTTTATATAAGGGATATCATCTTACTAGGTTCAACCGCCAAAACAGACACTACTCAGGAGGTGTTAGCAAGGTCTGGGGGGTAAAGGATCTAGGGGATCCCAAGCCCTAAGCCCTCTTTTTCAGACCGCCTAGATGAGAAATCCTTAGCCCTTAGCCCCAGACCTTAAACATTTAACTCAAAACACTAAACCCTCAACTCTAAACCCTTAACCCTAAACCCTAAACCCTTAACCTTTAGTCCTAAACCTTTAAGGTGCAGAAAGATCATACCAAGGTGAAGGCGCCAGCGGAGTGCTTGGATATTTCCAGACGAAGGGCGCGCCCAGGATGCCCATTGATAGAAAGAAGGTTTCCAATAGAGTTGAAAAGTCTTCAAGATTTAAGGATTAGGGTTTAAGGTTTAGGGTTTAGGGTTTGGGGTTTAGGGTTATGGTTTGGGGTTTAGGGTTTGGGATTCAGGCACAAGGGGTTTAGGGTTTAAGGCTCAGGTAGCATAAAAAAACTAGGGGTCATTAAGACATGGGATACCTGGATTATACAATGATTTCCGTGATTTATGTGGGGTCAAGGGTCTTCCATTCAGGTTTTTCAAGGATTCTTTTGTGGCTCCAGGAGAGGCTTCACCATTTTGGGGACACAGAGGGACAGGCCTAAATCATGTGAACTGGGATCTGAGCATAGTTTCTACGATGAATCCTTTTTTGTAATCCCTTTTTAGTACCATATATGTCAGGGTCCCTAGCATCCCGGCATTGTGCGGAGCTCAGGTATGGAGGCTCGTTGAACGGGGCTCATCGCGTGGGTATGGGGCTCGATTCTAAGGTTCAGTAATTGTCAATCCGATTGATGGACAACATCCTAAATGCCTTAGTTGAGGCATACAGTTAAGGAATACGGGGATACTTACAGAAATTTTTTATGTTTGGAATAAAGGAGCTTCAGGGAGTATAGCAGACTACCATAGTTCCTAGGGCTGAGCAGTACAGGGTCGTGAGGGACTTTCTCATCAGACCATTTATGAGAGTCTGGGTATGCAAGGTTAGTGCTTTTTTTCCAGCATCTAGTGCCACAAAAACATTGTTCTTTACATTCCGGGCCCAAATTCTAAAGCATTAATTCCTAAATCCTGAACCGTAAATTGCTAAAGCCTGAACTCCATACTGTCCACCCTGAAAGCGTTGTACATGGAACCCATGGACTAAGCTGAGACAAAATCTTGAACTGAGGCGTGTAGAAGCTTGAGCAAGTCGTGGATGACGTGCTCCGCGGGCCCACCCAGCTCATGCAGGTAGATCTGCACGAACTTCAGAAAAGCCGAGGCTGCAAAGAATGGTAGAGCTAGACCATCGGAAAGAGCTGGACCATTGGACCATCAGAAAAGCGGAGCATAGGCATAGCATCACGAGTGGTGTCGTACACCATGCGTATAGTCTACTGTAGGCATTGTAGACTATTCGTATAGGTGCTGTGTACTGAAGTTCTGGCACGTCACAGTTGACAAAGGAACATAAGCGGTGTTGTTCATGGTTGGCCAGATGTTGGGAGGAGACGCAGAAGAGCAGTCGAGTGGTGTTCTTGGTGCAGTCTCATTTGAACAGATTTCGCTTCAGGCCGCATTGTTCTGGATAATTGTATTTCGAAACCTACATTAAGCCTAAACTCTACTCCCTAACCTCTAAACCCTAAACCCCAAACCCTAAACCCCAAAATCCTAAACCCCAAACCTTAAGCCCTAAACCTGAAACCCTAAACCTTAAGGGATCAATAAGGTCCCATAAAGGGTCCCATAAAAAACACCTTAAGGGAGGACTTGTTAACGGTCATGGGACTGAGCACAGGCCGCATCCTGCTGTGACCTGTCATTGTTGCTGTGGGAAATCGTGCGTCGCTCCGGTTTTGGGGTTTAGAGTGAAAGGTTTAGGGTTAAGGTTTGAGGGTTGAGGGTTTAGGGTTTAAGCTTTAGGGTTTAGGGTTTCGGGTTTAGGGTGAGCTCAAGCAAGGGCAGTTTAGTGGAGGGTCTTTAAGATGGATTGTATCAGAGCCCTGCCACAATTTTGAGGAAACACTGGTTCAGTCTTCCCATACTTCTACAGGAACCCTACAGGAATGGTTTAGCCCTAAACCCCTAAACCATTTTACAAGAAATCATCGGACCTAAGCTCCAAACTCTAAACCCTCAACACTCTCAAAACCAACGCTGTAAAGCATGAACCTGCTGATATGTGCAAGAGGCTTTTTTGTACGAAGTAATCCTCGTCTCCCACATAATAAGTTCCCCACCCCCTAGTACTTAAGAAGTTCATAATAAGGTACGTCATAGTATGTAGCGTTTTCATTGTTGCAGCGTGGGACATTGATTAGGGGTTCAGGAAGAACGGGTCTTCGCAGGGTTCAGGGTTCAGGGGGGGTTAAAGGGGTGAATCCCATCAGAGTTGAATGAGGGTCCTAGGAATATGGTAGTTTCCCAAAATAGGGGAACCCCGATATAGACACCAAAATATTTTAGTCCTTACTATGGGGATCTTCAAAATGGTACCCCTAGTATTAGGA